CGTGGTAAAGCACGATTGTCTTGTCCGTCATCCAGAATACTGTGCAGTGAGTTCCGTCCCTGCGCCATTCTGGCCCATGGAACGTTGTACCGTTATCCATTAGTGTTAGCGGGTGAGTGGTTTAGTAGCTACGGCTGAGATGTTAGAGGTTAGATATTCACAAGCCAGGCAGCAGTCCATCCTTTTCCTGTGGAATCGATGATCGTTCCTCCCATTTAGCTTTAGATTTACTTATTCAAATCGCTCCCTTTTATGCTTCGAATTCCATAAAGTTTTTAGTTTATTTTCACGATGAAGCCAGATCCAGAGCTTTTTGATACTTGAAGATTTCGAAGACTTGGGGATTTGAGAGAGTTGGCTCCCAGAATTCTCCCGACTTCGAAATTTGGTAGTCAATCCACCGTCACGCGCGGAAGTATCAGAGTCTAGCGCACGGTCATCAACGGGGTTCTTGTCTGAGCTCTTGAGGAGGGGGTCGTGCTTGGCTGGAGTCTCTCGGCACAGGCCCGCTGTACCCCTAGATGACGGCGCACTAGTCTTCTTACGTCTGATAGGTTGATCGAAGGTGTCCAGCCGTCTCGTCAGGCGAATATTGGAAGGGGGAGGGGGGGGGTCGTTCCCGTGAAAGTCGTCCTTTCACGACCCTGATAGGAACGCACTGAGGCAGCCCAGTGTCCATCCTTGCGATAGCCTTTGATGTATTAGGTTGTCCCAAAAGTTCGTGAACATTTTTTGAATCTCGTATCAGATCTTTCTTAGCCATTTCGAGATCCAGTTATGTGGTCTATGGGAAGTGTGTTAAGTAAGCATCCCACAGCTTCTCCATCGTGTTCTCATAACCAGAACGGTAATTGAAATTTATCATTTTCGACTTACTTCGCTATATGAATCTCCACCAAGCAGCTCAAAGGTTACACGTTCCAAAAGTGACACTGCTCAACATCCTGAAGCTTAGCTGGGGAATTGCACCACACTCTACGTGCAGCTCTGACTTAGCTCTTTCCAATCGCTTTCTAAA